CTTGGGAGGGTGGAGGGCAGGTAGAGGAGGGAAAGGCCCTTCTGGGAGGTGGGTTGATTTCGTGACTGGGGCAATTGGGATGACTGTGTCGGAGACAATGAGATTGGCACAGGACAGAGCAGAGTTTAGAGCTGTTGTACATAGGGTCGCTATGAGTCGTAAGAGACTCGATGGCACATAACAACAACAACAACAATAATCTGCATTCAGACCCCTCTCGAGAGTACTCAGAAGCAAGGATGTTAGTCTAGACACTAAGGTGCACCTGATTTGGGCTGTGTTCTTCCCAGTTACTTTCTTTGCCTCTGAGAGCTGGACAGTGCCTGAGGAGGAAGACTTGATGCCTCTGAGTTGTGGTGCTGGAGAAGAGTCATGAATATACCATGGACCAGCAAGAAAAGAAAGAGGTTTGTCTTGGAGAGAGTGAAACCATGTTTTTCCTTGGAGGCTGAGATTTTAAAGCTCTGTCTCACATACTTTGTGCACATGGCCAGTAAGGACCAATCCTTGAAGGACATTGTGTTTGGAAGGGTGAAGGGACAGCACAGGACATGAAGACCCCAGATGAGAAGGATTGATACAGTAACTGGGGTAATGGGGGTAGGTTTGTTGGAGTCAAGTGAGACTGGCTAAGGACAGGGTGAGCTTCAGAGCTGTTGTCCATAAGGTCAGTATGCTTCTCAGTCAACTCAATGACACATAACAAGAGCAACAACAATAAAAGATTTAGGAAATCTATTACTGCTTATATGATAGACTTTGTTTCCAGTTTCTTCTAATTTCTGCCTTAGTTTCTTTTAACAATTCAAATGATGTCTGAATCAGTGTAATATGTTTATAGAAATATATTAAATTCTGTGACTACATTTGTTTCTTAGTGTACTCACTGTATTATTATCAAGCATTTGACATGTATGACTGATAGTAAAAAAAATATTTGGCTATTTTACACATTACCAATATATGTCTGACTGTAGCAAACACCATCATGTGGGATGAGATTAACAGTGGCCATGATGGTTAGGGTTGTCAGGTTCACTGGGCCTTGATTCTCAATAGTTTATCATTTATGTACTGATGTAATTTGGCAGTTACATAATAATGTAGTCATTCTCCACTTTGTAATTTGAAGTAGTCATCCTCCATATACACAATGATTATTTTCGTAGTAACTTCATCTTTGGAACGTAACCATATGGTTAAGTAACTGTTATTATATACTATTGAGTTGGAACTCATTCATAGCTGACTCATAGCAGGTTTTCAGAAGTAGTAAATCACATGAGAATAGATTGCCCATCTTTTTTCTGTGAAACAACTGGTGAATCTGGTCAATTCACCTTTGGGTCGCCACTAAGCCTCCAGAACCCCTTGGATAAGAGACTTATTGTCTTGTGCCTCTGAATCACCACTGACTCATAGCTGACCCTTTAGCAGTTTTCAGTGATTATTAAATGCACAAGAGGAGACTGTCCACCTTTCTCCCTTAGAGAGGCTGCTGAGTTTGAACTACTTGCCATTGGGTTAGCAATGCAACTCCTTACCACTCCGCCACTAGATCGCTTGATAAGTGACTAGTTAGTGTCATTCCGTTTGCTGATAGAGAGTTACAGAATGTTTGAATTTGATGTTGGGGTTTTTTTTTTAGTGATTACTTATTTTACATTTTGTTGTTGCTGTGTACCATCGAGTTGGAACTGACATATAGGTGTCCCTCCAGCATGTAGGTTTTCAGAGATAGTTAATCGAACTGGAGGTGACTGCCTATCCTTCTCCTTGTTTACATTTTACGTGTAGAATCTGAGTATTAGAGAAGTTGTAATTTGCTAAATATGAAATTAAGTAAATTATATAGGAATTAAGTCATATCATGTCTCTTATTTTATAGTTAATGGTTTTATTATTTCTGAGAAAATGAGCACCTGTGGTTTTTAATATTGGCATCAGTATGGTTTGAAGAAAGAGCACTTCATTGAAATGGTCCAGAAATCTGGTTATTAATCGTGCTTCTGTGTAACTCTTTGAATAACCTTGAGCAAATAATTTCCTTGTTTGACTTTTAAAACTTCTTTTATGTCTAAACTTCATGATTCACCAATCATTATTCCCATTCTTAAATCAATAAATATTTTCTTTGCCCTCTGGTAGATATAGCTAAACAAATTCACCTTGATCTCTTTAGGTTGATTATTGTAGATCAACAGCAAAACACAGGAAAATAGCTACCTCATTTCGTGATTCTTCTCTCAAAGATATTCTCGTTCTAGCTTGCTCTCTTCTAAAAGAGGTAAGTTATTTAATTATACACTCTCTTAGAATATTTAGAGAACTTAAAAGAATAGCCAATGGAATTTCTAATCCATCTTTTTTAAAATTTAACTGTGAACAGTTTTAAATACAGGCTATTTATACAAATCTAGAATTTAAAAAATTGTCTTTTACTCATTTGTGTATGAAAAAGTAAAATCCAAAAGGAATCTAGTAACTTGTCTTTAGATAGGAGCTTCACTATCTCTCTACTGTAGATTCTCAAAGGTTGTGTAACCCTGGTATGTGTACACTTACTGTACAGAGGTAACTTGTGGTTGCTGTAAAGCCGAATACGGTTACCCATGGTGGACAGTGTTTGGTGAAGCTCACCGATTAAAACAAGCTAGAAGCAGGAGTGGCATCCTCTTCCACACTAGTTTGCCTCTGGAAACCCTGTGAACCTGGAGAAAGGACGAAAGTTATACAGGAAGTGTCCAGGACTTTGTTCATAGGGTCACTATGAGTTGCCTGCGACTCAACAGCACTTAACAACAACAATAATAGATTCTTAACATCTTTTTTTTGTATACTACCTGTGTTTTTGGTGGAGTGTAGGTAACAGTAAAATGTTAATAAATTGTAATAGTTTACCAACTTTCGAACTTTAAATTTCTATTATCTTTGGACACATTTATTCTCATTTGTAATTTACTTCCTTTTTGAAATTTAGAGATAGCTTAATTCATAATTACATTCTTTACTGTAAAGACTTCTTAAGTTTTTTAATAGTACAATATTTCCCAAAGTATATTTCCTTTAAGCACTAGTGTTTGGGGTTCTGTTGGCATTAGGTGAGAAAAAAGACTTTATTGTCACATAAATTTTAAAAAACCAAATTTCTTTTCTGAAGGACTTTAGAACTGTTAATATGCTGGTGGTGATTGTGAATTGTCAATTAAGAAATGGAGTAGTTTTGACTAGAACATAACGCTTTAAACACAGGTCAATTATGCTAAATAATTATTTTTAAAATACTTTTGTTGTCTTCAATTCTGCGATCCATTCTAACTGCTGTACTAGGTCAGAACTAAAGATCCTTTATTGTCTTATAAAGGAGCTGTTTTGGTTAAGCCCTCAGCTAACTGAACTCTTGGTGATTCATATCCACCATTTGTTCCACAGAGAAAGGTATGACAGTTGGCTTGCTCCTGTACGATTACTGCCTTTAAAATTATGCAACAGTTCTACTCTAGCCTGTAGGAGTTGTTAGGAGTTAGAATAGATCTAGTGGCAATGTATTTTTTTTAAGTTATCTTTAAAAGTATTTATTGTGGGAAACTTTAAAATATAGAAGCATAGATAGGATAGTGTAGTGAACCTCCTTGTACTTATAATACAATTAAACAGCCAAAAATTCATGCCAACTCTTGTTTCATTACTATTCTTACATGCACTCTTGGTCTTTCTTTGTATTAGTTTTCAAGCAGAACCCTAAGCTTCATATTTCTTCCATAAATACTTCATTGTACGTATTTAAAAGACACCATCTTTTCTGATTTTATCAAAATAAACATTTTTAGGGGGCAGACTTACCCCACTTTTTCTTTAAGAAAAGTCTGTTTTCAGTAACTTTTGAGTTAATAAATCCCTTGTGTTTAAACTGTTATGCTATGGTCAATATTAGAACTTTAGAGGATAATCCTTAATTTAATTATACCACAGGGAGATAGTTGGAAGAGTACTTGATAAAATGTGGGGATTGCAATCATTGTAACAAAATATGTGTGAATGGTTGTACGAAATACCAGTCTGTTCTTTAAAGTTTCACTTAAATCATATTAAAAATTAAAATAAAATTAATGAAAATTTTTATTCTTATTTCACAAACTAAATTAGAAAATAAGTTTGGTTGTTTTGCCATTTCTTTTAATATATGAGGCAGAATTTTTTTAAGTTTTTGCTCATTTCAGTGTGCAATGAAGAAATATTATTGTTAGTGAAGTAACAGTTTATTTGTTGACTTACTTTATTTTATTTGCTGTTGAATTTTATTTTTTTCAGGTGTTGGCCAAACCTTTAAATCTGCAGGATCAGTGTCAACAAAATGTGGTAATGCAAGTCTTAAAATTGGTGCTCAACTGTCTTAACTTTGACTTCATTGGCAGTTCAGCAGATGAGTCTGCAGATGATCTTTGCACAGTACAGATTCCCACAAGTTGGAGAACGAGTAAGACAACAATATGAAGGATGGTCACTGTAAAAGGTTCAGAACTGATCAGTGTAGTTGCTCTCTACATGATGTTCTCTTACTTTTTGCTTGACAATTAAAAATTATTGTTAAATAATTACTGATTGCCAGTATTGAATAGGTTGTCCTCTATTTATGTCATAGCAACATTCATATTTTAGATTTGGAAAAGGGTAAAGATGCAGTGCTAGAGCTGGATGGAAAAAAATTCAGAAAGGAAATTAAGTATCCTTGTTTGAACCTTTCAAATAAACAGTAGGAGATAGTTCAGTAGTTGGGAAGAGATGGTAGTGAGAAGTTGTGTTGACAACCCAAAGGGAAGCTCTTTGAATCCATCATCTGCCCATCAGGAGAAAGATGGGCAGTCTCTTTCTGTGCAATTTATAGCCCCTGACAATGTGCTGGAGGGCCAGCTGTGAGTTGGTTCTGATTTGATGGTGCAGAAGAACAAAAAAAAACCCCCTCTAATAACTGAATTATTAGAACAGTTGGGGTTTACTTTCTTACAGAGAGGAGTACCAAGAGAAAGCAAACTGATTTGAGGTTATTGTAGGCTAGAAGAAAGGTGTCACTAAGGTGCTGCTGAAGTCAGGTGTGAGGAATGAAAGTGACCATGGTTGGTCGATATCGTGTATAATTAAATTTTCCAGGATTTTCTCTGTACTTTGTCAGCAGGGTGATGGCCATTTCTCCCCAATCCTTTTATTCACTCTTTCTTATTCGTATGAACAGAATATTTTTAAGAAAATTCAACTGACTAGGCTCCTCATTCAGGGATACTAGATATGGAATACTAGATAGAAAATATCATAATAGATAGAGAAAAGATTGAGACTGTCCATGACTTCATCTTACCTGGATCCACAGGCAGTACAGTTGGTACCAGCAGAAGGAAATCAGGAGATGTATTGCACTGGGAAAGTCTGCAGTCAGGGACTTATCCAAAGTACTGAGGAGCAGTAATGCCAGTTTGTGGACAAAATGTGCCTTGTTTCGAACATGGTCTTTCTAGTCACTTGCAGTGCATATGAGAATAAGGATGACAGAAGAATAATTGATACCTTTGACCAGTCGTGTTGGAGAAGAGTACTGACTATTCCATGGACTACCAGGAGAACAAACATGAGAATGTGGTGTAGCCAGGATGCTCCTTGGAGGTAAAAGGTGATGAAGCTTTGTCTCATGTACTTTGAGCATGTTGTTAGGAGATGTTATTCTTTGAGGAGGGACATCATGCTTGAGAAAGTGAAGGGACTGAAAAGGAGAGAAAACCCTCAGACATGTGGATTGGCACAGTGACTGCAGCAATAGACTTGAGTGTGTCAGTTTGTTAGGATAGCACATGATAGGACAGGTTTCGTATCTGTTGTTCATAGCATGTCAGTGATTTGTACTTGACAGCATATAACAACAACATAGGGTTGCTGTAATTCAGAGTTGACCTGACAGCAGTAGGTTTAATCTTTCTAAGGGCATTTGCGAGTCTTCATATACATATAAAACTACACGTAAGTCTAAAAAACTTTAGCATCTAAGTGTCCAAAAAAAAATTACCACTAGACCAATGTTGTTATTATATGCCATCAAGTCGCCTGCTATTCATAGTGACTCTGTGTTTAATAACTCCGAACACTGTCCTATTTTGAGCCAGTCTCACTGTCTCCAACACACCTGACCTGGCATTAGTACTGCAGTCACTGTATCAATCCGTCTTATCCAGGGTCTTCCTCTCTTGTGCTGTCCCTCCTCATTTTCAAGCATGATGCCCTTCTCCACTGACTGGTCCCTTCTGGCAACATGCCCAAAATATGTGAGATAGAACTTTAAAATCCTTGCCTTTAGATTTAAAATCCTACTACACTGCGTGGTAGTTAAGACAGCATGGTACTGGTACAATGACAGACACATAGATCAATAGAATAGAATTGAGAACCCAGAAATCAGCTCAACTATTTATGGTCAACTGATTTTTGACAAGGAGATAAAAACAGTTTAGGTGGGGAAATGACAGCCTCTTTAACAAATAGTGTTGGCAAAATTGGAAAACTATCTGCAGAAAAATTAAACAAGATCCCCACCCCACTCCATATACAAAACCAACTCAAGGTGGATCATGGACCTAGGACTGAAACCAAGGACTATAAACTTCATTAAAGAAAAGCTTGGAAGAACTTTAGTAGTCTTAATCCACAACATAAAGAGTCTTCCAAGTATTCTGAAAAATTTACAACCAGGAAAAGATAAAAGAGATGAATGGGACCTTCAAAGAATTAGATCCCTATGCG